TGCACTGGAGGCGAGGGAACTGCGATGTCAGCTTGGCGAGCGATCCCTGAGGTGATTGATCTCGCCCGTTTTGCAAATGGAACTGATTCCGAGTAGCCGATCACTTTCTTGTGCGACGAGCTGCTCTTGCCTGCCCAGTGTGACAAGATAATCTATAATTATTGATGCGGCGCTGAACCAATCAGAATCACGAACCTGTCACTCTCGAAATCTAGCTAGACCTTTCAGATACTAGTAAACTAACCTACTAAGCAAAATTGGAATGAAATGGGCTGCCAAGTGAGCATTGGCGACATAATAACAAAGCTGAAAGATAAGCGACAATATTGCTGACGCGGACCAAGTAAAATCGTTTCAGCCCTAATATAATTATACATGTACACACAAACATGCACATACCCCCCCCCCCCCCCCCCCCCCCCCGCTACACACACACACACACACACACATGTACACGCATACACACCATGTACCATGTATACGCCAGTTACAAGAGAAGCACGCAAATCTGCGAAACGTACTGGAGGTGCACCCACAGATTTTCTCTTATAGCGACTATAGCGGACAAGATCTGAATGAGACAGATCAAGACTAGTGCCAGATAACTGCCTAATCCATACAACCTGTGAAGCCATGAGAATCGACCACCAATGCACACATGGTCTGCACAACGCGAAGTACATCAGCATAGAACGGCTAAGACGGTTGCCTATTCTTGCTGTATGCACACACGCACTCACGCACGCACCCCCCCCCCCCCAAACACACACACAAACACACATACACCAGGAAATATATTTACGCCACTTTAGAATGTAGGGACGGCCATTGTATGGACCCAAGAGTGAATGGTGTGCCATGGTCTGCTCTACTGGCAGATGGTGGAATCCGTAAGGTTAAGTTCTGTTGCTCTGGCCTGGCGCGAGTGACTAGATGCTACTTGTTGTGATCGAATATATTGCTCAAACCATGTTCTGGAAAAAAATTCTTAAGGGGAATCAAGGATAGAGATTGCTCAACTTACATTGTTCTTTACAGAGATCGTGTCGGGTTGGAGGTCTAGTAGATACTTGACTACTTCCAGATGTCCATTCCTGGCAGAGTCATGAACAGGAAGATTACCGGTCTGTGTACAGGTAACACACATGACAAGACATTCCTGTGCGTTATCCATCAGAAAAGTATCTATATTGGATATAAATGTGTAAGGCACCTTCTCCCGTACAACCTTTTCCAAGCTCGTCTGCATGCACCCCATACTACGTCGTAGTCACCTTTTGTTCCGTTGGCCTGGGTAGCTACTTGTGCGCCTATATTTGTCATAGCTACCCAGGCCCTTTACCTTCGCGTTCGCACTTGATCTCTAGCTCTTGTCTCTCTCTCTTCCGGATATCTCAGTCGGTAGAGCATGAGATCCCATGCACAGTCGTCCTCAACCGCCATTCGTCTCGTCCTCAGTAAAACTCGTCTCGCCTATGTCAACCTGGTCTCGTCCATGTCAACCTGGTCTCTTCAATGTCAATCTTGTCTCGTCCAAGTCATGCAGGTCAGCTATTTTCTTTATTATTCTCTTTCTTTTCATCTGTCCATCGTCGTCAAATTTATTTTCGGTTTATTTTATTTTTCAATTTTTGTAGTGTGTGTGCGCGCGCAGGTGTCCTTCGTCAATATTAAGCGTCCGATGGTGAGCCACGCTCTTTTATTCATGTCGCATTAATTGGCAGAAGAGTAACTATGCTGTATAGCTATGCAAATCAGAAGGCAAGTTTTTTATGTTTGCCAATTTTTTTGTGGAGGGGTATTTGGCCCGTCGTTGGCAATCACTACGCTACCATGAGTGATTTGTAAATACTTTAGAGTACAGGAACATCATAACTCTAGTGTATAATTAGTATAACACTTTTGTGACACCCGTGTGTTGTGTGTGTGTGTGTGTGTGTGTGTGTGTGTGTGTGTGTGTGTGTGTGTGTGTGTGCGTGCTGTATGTGTGTGTGTGCGCGCTGTGTGTGTGTGCGCGCTGTGTGTGTGTGTGTGTGTGTGTGCTTTTTTTCTCTACTTCCTCAGCCATTTTTTTCTATTTTTCTCGTCGTCTTATTATTTCCCGCGAGGTCGCGGTTCTTTTCTTTGCGCAGGGGAGGTATGTTAGGTACCTCCTCCCGTACAACCTTTTCCAAGCAGGCCTGCATGCACCCCATACTACTTCGTACTCACCTTTTGTCTCCTTTTCTCACCTTTTTTCTGTTGGCCTGGGTAGCTACTTGCGCGCCCATATTCTCCACACCTACCCAGGCCCTTTATCTTGCCGTTCACACTTGATCTCTAGCTCTTGTCTCTCTCTCTGCCACAATGTAGTCGTTTCGTTCGTCTTGGTCTCTGTCTCTTCGTCTCCCAAATAAATGTTGTCCCACCTAACTGTTCCTGTTGTCCATCGTTGTCTCTGGAGAATATGCCGTCGTCCTTTTTGTACTCCACAAATGTAGTGCCCAACTCACTTTGAAGATTATTGAGTTATTCTCATGTACATACACACTACTCTGATAAGTCAATTGACAAACTGTTTGCCAGGTTAAGGTTGAAAACCCCAATACATGTCTCACTGCCGGGCAAGAAATTGGTCAGTAGAATATGCTTGCCTGGAACTGATGGCCCACACTTTGTCTTTCCCAGCCCACGATGCAACATTGATGCCAAGTTAGGTTCTACGCCTGCATCGGTTGGTAGCATTTGTACACACCTCCGCTTTTATAACTGTTGTGATGATCTGATTGTTACTTGTAGGGGTGAAAGTTGGCACTGAGATCCCGAGTTTGAATACTCTGATTTTCTCCGATCGAATTTTGAGTAATCGAGAATTCTTAAAAATCGCACACCAAGGGCCTTTTAAAAACCACATGATACAATCCTGACTGAACCGTTTGGCAGTCTTTTTCTCGAGTGTATTGGTTGGTGGGTCATTTGGGTTCATTCTAATCGTGGACAAATGTTCACCACGCAATCTGCATATCAATATCTGCTGACTGCTGCTGTGAAACTGCAGACTTCTGTGATAAATCCATGTACCATGTCCACGCTGCGTGCTCAGAGCAGTGTCAGAGTAGTATTTGAGTGGCAAGCGTATTGATTGTGACAGGTTGAGTGTAATTGATTGTTACGATTTACTGAATTGCCGTTTGATCTTCGTTCCGCAGCGCTGTTGTATTTCTCTTCTTCCGTTAGTTCTTTCTCTTTTGTCTGTCAGCGCTTCCTGTCACCCAGCGCTGGGTGCAAGCACCCCCTGGCAGATTCATACATTGTTCTACTTGATAAATTTATTGTTCTCTCAAACTTATTTCTTCGTTGTGTTCGAACTGTTTTTGAATTGCTTTCGTTCTTTCTTGCTATGTGCCAGCTGCCAAAGTGTGCATTCGCAGCAGCGCCATTTTTTATTATGTCACCATTGATCATGTGATAAAGCGCGATTGTTGCTAGCGCTAGCTCCGCGGATCTGGTAGTGGTACGCATGCATACGTGTAGCGTGACTTGCCTGTGATAGTCTTCTGTGATATGCTGTTTTGCACTGGAATCGCACTTGTACTTTTGACCTCTTCACACTTCTCTTTTTGGCAATGCGTATCCTGGACCTCTCTAGCTCTGCAAACGTTTCCACTGATCCCGCGCGGGGTTCTCACGCACCGTATACACGTACGGTGCAGTACGGAAATTTGCACTTGTTTCTTTTCTTGTATCCTTTTCTGGTTTCCTAGCACCTTTTCGGGACTGTTCCTCTGTGCAAGAGGTAGCCTTGTCTTGGTGGCTTTCTCGTTCATGGTACAGTTTTTCTTTGGTGCTCTTAGAGTTTGTTGTGTCTTTCTTGTATTATTATCAAATCTACACTATCGTCATATGGCCAAACTTCTGCGAAAACGAGGCTTAGGGTGAAAATCTATTTTTTGAGAAAATATGTTGTTTTCTAAAAAGGTTGTGTCACGTGGCCACTCGAATGCAGTGAAGTGGAACCAAAGAGAATACCGCATGTGTGAAAAAGTAGCAGTCATGGCAGGAAGGGCTTCAGCAGTCAGGGAAGTCAAAGGGCTTCTGGAAGAATATTCCCTGCTACTCTTCTAGTCACGGCGAAGAGGTTTTGAGCTGATTCCATGTCTCCTACACTCAGGGACGGGAAAATTTCTGCGCTAGCTGCTGCTGCTACGGAATATGGGGAAGAAATCGTGTCTAGTTAGAGCCGTGATGGCAATAGTGAGGAGAACCTGGACAACGTCGATCCAGCCAATCGAAGTACGGAGATACTAGCTGTTTCTGGGCCTCACGGTAAGGGAACACGTGCAGCAGAGCTCATGCGTTCGCAGCAAGTTCACGAAGAAAAAGGCTTGAAGCGCCGTGTGACAACTGTTTTGAATTGAAGTTCTTGGCGATGACGTGCTACTAAATGCCAGGCGAATGAGGGAGCAGATCGAGAGGCCCCCACTCGAGACTTTCCTCGCTGGGCAGCTAGCTGCACGGGATTGTACGGAGTGACGGGATTTCACTTGCTGGTCAGCACAAAGCAGACACTGCAGCACGCCAGCACACCCATTAAAGCCTGTCTTGTTAGGAAGCCTTTTTTGAATACAAGCCTGGTTTGAAGACAAAACATAATTTACATATTGCACAGAGGAGCGAGTGACAGAGTTCACTCAGCAGCGATCTGTGGCCGTGGCCAAATCCGTCAAGGTCCATGAGTGCAGCATGCACACCACGGAAGACGGAAAAGTCTCCGCCCGATTGACGCTCGACGCCACTGGCTTAGAAACAGTCACTGCTGCGAACCTCTGGCCACGACCGCTTTACGCTCGAGCCTGGCGACACCACAAACGGCCGCAGGGTGACAGCTCATCTGGGGCATATGGTGCCGGCAACGTGGGCAGCAGAGGCGATAGGGACAGTGAGGAAGAGGCTGCCTCAGCTGGAGCGATTCAGCCACACAAACACCAATGAACACCAGCTGCGCAAGGACATACCCAGTAATGAAGCTCCTGCTGACAAATTCTTTTGGGCTGCTGTCAACGTTTGGAGCCTTCCAGCATGCTGTTACACGGAGCAGATCTGACATCGCCATCGTAACAGAGACTAAATTCACCCCGGAGAAAGCCTCACTATCTGACTTCTTCATGCCGGGCTTCCACCCACCCCTCCGACTTGACCGATCTGCTCAAGGTGGCGGAGTTGCAGTCTGGGTCCGGGACTCCCTCTCCTTTGACCACCTGAGTGACATCAACTGCCATGGCCATGAGGTCATCTGGCTTCGCCTGCACCTGGACAATGGCCAGAAAGTATTTGCATTTGCAGTGTACCGACCCGGGTCGTGCATTGGACAAGATGTCTTTCTGCTTGAGTATCTTGACTCAGTCATGGATCAAGCTCGATCCCTCGGGAACAGCGTTGTGATAGCCTGGGATTTTAATGTTCATAATGAAAGCTGGCTATGCAGCACGAAGACTACACCAGCTGGTGAATACATGGAAGAACTCTCTGCGTTTCACGGGCTCCACCAGCACCTTACTCAACCAACACGTGGTGAGAACACCCTGGACCTCATACTCAAGGACTTCTTGGAGACCTCAGTGGTGGTAAATGTACTGGACCCCATTGGAGCATCAGACCATGCCACCGTTGTGGTCACTTTTGATGCCACCCCACTCCGCGAACAACCGACTAAACGGGGCGTTTGGAGGTATGCTCAGGCAGACTGGGGCCGGCTTCAGCACTTCTACTCAACAGCAAACTGGGATATATCAGAAGACCCCGAGGCGTCGTGCAGATCAGTAACCGCTGTTGTCATGGAAGGCATGAATCGCTTCATCCCACACAAAGAACTTTCGACGAAACCAACAGATCCATCCTGGTGGACGCCGGAATGCTCAGCCGCTACCCAGGCAAAGAAGAATGCATGGAACCGTCTCAAGACACACCCCACCTGCCACCAGCAACTCATTGACTACAATGCCAAAATCCGAGCCTCTGCCAATTGCCTTCGTCTCGCAAAGCAGGCAGAATCTGCCCGCATCCGAGATCGGCTCAAACATGGATCACTGCGAAACAAGCAATGGTGGTCACTCCTGAAGCAAGCTGCAGGCTCTGGCCGCAGCTTGTCTATCCTTGTCCTACGCAAAACCCAGGGCAGAGAATATGTCACCAACCAGGAAAAGACTACTTGCTTTGGAGAATTCTTTTGCGAGCAAATGCAGTCTGGGTGATCAAGATCTACAGCACTCCGACCTTCCTGACCTTCCTCCTAGGTGTACATCTGCCCTGACAACTGTCCGATTTCGGGAAGCGACAGTCCAGCGCCAGCTCCGCCAGCTGGATCCAACCAAGGCTACCGGACCCGATGGCATTCCTGCCAGATTTCTGAAGCAGTGCTCAAAGGTTTTGGCTGCACCAATTGCCAAGCTGTTCTCACTCTGTTTTCGGTGCCATGTCCAGCCCTCTCTCTGGAAAGTAGCCCATAAACCCGATACACAAGAATCAATCTCATTCTGCTGTTAAGAACTACCGACCTGTGTCCTTGTTATCTGTTGTCTCCAAAGTCATGGAGAAGATTGTCAACACTGCCATAATTGAGCATGAAAAGGCCCTGTCCATCCACCAGTACGGATTCCGGCAGGGGCTCAGCACATCTGACCTTCTCACGTCTCTCAACCACTCCTGGGTCTCCGAAGTCAACCGTGGTGGCGCAGTCCACGTGCTGGCTGTAGACATAGCAGGAGCATTCGACAAAGTTTCACACCGAGGCGTGCTCCACAAGGCTGCGTCATACGGCATCACTAGTTCCCTCCTCAACTGGCTGTCTGACTACCTGTATGACAGTAAGTTGCAGGCAGTAGTCGGCGGAGCATCTTCAGAACCATACAAGATTGATGCTGGGGTCCCACAAGGGAGCATCCTTGGGCCCACACTGTTTTTGCTGTATGTGAATGACGCCTGCGACGTCCTACCGGAAGGGATCACTCCGGCTGTTTACGCAGATGACACCACGCTTTATGCCCACATCCCAATGCCACATGCTGTGACAGAAGTGTACCGCAACCTCCAAGCTGGTGTGGATGCACTTGCTGAATGGGGTGCTCAGTGGCGCGTCACTTTTGAGCCAACGAAATCACAGGCCATGACTGTGTCCCGCCACCAAAGACCCTGGGAGACACCACCCATCAAGTTCAACGGCACAGCGGTCCCAGAATGCTCGCGGCTGAAGCTCCTTGGAGTGACGTTTGATGCTCATCTTCCATACTCGAAGCATCTTCGAGGAACTGCAGTGCGTGCCACACAGCGAAGTGGTTTCTTCCGGAAGGCGTGCCATGTCCTGGACCCACCCGGCCGGGCCACAGCATTCGGCCTCTAATGGAGTACTGCCCACTTGTATGGATGGGAGCTGCCGCTACCCATCTCTCACAGCTGGACCGAGTCCAGCATCGTGCCCTCACCCTGATTGGGACAGGGGCTGCAATGGACACTCTGTCTGCTTGTCGCAAAGCCTTTGCGTATTTAGCTACTTCACCGTCCCGGTCGCCAAGCAGCAGTGAGCGACCCCCAGCTGCATGAGGGAGAGTTGTCACCAAGTCGGGACTCTTCAAGTCTTTCAAGCGTCCCAGGTAGAGGCGCTTGCAATTCCGGATGGTGCTTTCGTTCACGGAATCCTCCAGGTCCTTTGTGAACTTACTCACGGCCGATTTGTTACCATGCTCGGTGGCGCGGCGTCCCATACGAGCTTGGACTTCGTCAGAGTTATGGTGATAACTGCCTCGTTTTCGCTTCTTGTCGGTCGAAGCGAGCTCCTCCTTCACAGCAGTGTTGGCTGCCTTTGTTGTGCTGCTTTTCTCCGCCGCGGAAAGTAAGCAGTCACAGGCGCATTGGTTGACCCAGATGCTTTCTTCTGAGAGCTGATCCACTGAAAAAGCGACATGACTCTTTGACAATTTACAACAACAGTAAAAGCATAAACGAACAACTCCAGCTTGGGCAAAGAACTTGAAAGAAGTGACAAAGTTACGAAAGATTGTCCGCGATAATTTCAGATTCAACCGGCAAACAACAACAGTCATCTGACGGATCTGAACGAACAGCTAGTTTCGCGGGCACCTTCCGCGAAACAGCTCAGCATACCGTATATTCTCTATTACTAGCACAGTCTCTAATACTAGCACACTGTGAGCACCTTTCGAAACATTATAAGCACAGTCTCTATTAGCACGGTCTTGGTGGAATCAATGCTGCATGCATGGTATCTAGCATGTATTTCTTCTTGCTCTGTATGGATGTATTGGTTGAAAAAATATGAGCACGGTCTCCAATAGAAGCGAGGTCTCCAATAAAAGCACGGGGTAGAGGGATGTTGAAAAAATATAAGCACGATGCTTATAATAGAGAATATACGGTAGTCATGCACTACTATATGATAGTACAGTCACATAGACAAGGCATGCACACAGCTACCGACAATCATGTACATGATAGTACAGTCACATAGACAAGGCATGCACACAGCTACAGACAGTCATGTACACTGACTGTAGTACTGACCAGCGTAGAACGTGATGCACTACTTCCGTTCAAATTCTTCAGTTCGCGGCGATTCGAATTCGCGTTTTGGCGGTGATCGCGAAACTCGCGAAAATTTCCCGGTTTACAGTAATCGAAGTGGCTTCGTTTTAAAGCGGGATTCACAGAAGCTTTTATGCGATGCGATTGGCGATGCGATGCGATTTGCGGCGGAGGCGTGCGATGCAAACTCGCGAAATACCATTCACAGAAGAAGTCCACGATGCGACGATACCTTGCTGATTTGGTGCGAAGTTCAATGCAGGCGGGTCCGTCACCATGGTATTCGCGCGTGTTTGTACAACTTGTACAAGTTTCCGGGCAACTCTTGAATCTTTGTACAACTTTGCTGTAGAAAAGATCAAAATCGTACGCCAAATCGTTTGTCGCATCGCGAAAGTTGAGCCGAGCTCAACTTCTGCGATGGCCCAGTTGCGGCAGTTGCGTGGGCTGCGAGATGGCTGCGACTTGGGGATTTCCTGGTTTCGCGACCGTCGTATCGTGTGTCGCATCGCAAGAATGCTTCTGTGAATCCCGCTTTATGATCAATTAGACGGATAACTGATATAATCGTTTCAGCCCTAATATAATTATACAGTAGGTATCAGTTATAGCGTGGGTGTTTGAAAAATGACTTTCTAATCTTATTTCCGATATTTCTTACACGCGATAAATCAAGTGTGACATATCATGTGCATGTGCGCAGAGGCAGAAAGATCATCGTACATGCAATGACTATGTAGTGTTACCTAGCATGCGGCTGGTTGTAGTCACATACTGTGACATAGGCTTACCATGTGGCTATGCAACATGAGTTACATGACCACAACAGTTGAACCTGCAGGCGTGAAAGCACTACGACCCAAAGCGAGTCAGATCGGAACTGAATTGGACGGAAATTATTACTACAGGCGATATACTTTGTACTGATCTGGTATGTTATGCTACACAAAGTCCATTCTTAGGACCGATATATTCTACTGTACGATAAAATTGCTTGTAAGAATAAATGTGCACTTGAAATCCATGTTACTACCTCCGACAAGCGAAACTTGGCGCGTTTTTTACTTCAAATTACTAGAAATAACTCACACTTTTACAATCAAAACTAATGATTGACTCACCAAAATTCAACTTTGAATTGCTCAACAAGGACATTAGAGACATCTGTTAGGCTGAATCACTCTCCTCTGATTCAGAGATCGCAGTTTCGTCTGGAGAGGAATTGTTCCTGTTTTGAGACGAAAGTGCGACTAGAGCGGATTCAGTTGCAGCAAGTACCTCTGTTGTAATCGCTCTGAAAATCTCGATGTCGCTCCTGTGTGCTGTGCTCGAGCCACGGTGTCGAGGGTAGTCGTTTCCGCCGCCACTATCCAGGTCGACGTGGTAAGAACTGTGCAACACCTCCACAAGCGCCTGGACTCCAACTGTTTTGCCGGGTATTCTCGCCAACTGTCCAAAATTGCCTGCAGCAATTCCTGGCGATTTTCCTTAGCCACCAGAGACGCATCGCTCTGGTGGCTATTGAAAGACGCTAGGATTGTTTGGCATGGACGTATGGACTCTGTGCTGGCGGAGTGACCAAGTGGAGAGAGAGAGAGAACTCCTTGGTTTTCCATTGAAACGCGAAAGCACGACAATTCTCCTTCGCAGAATGGACGTGCGCACTGTTTTGCTGGTACACGTGAGACTGGCTTGCCTCTGACTAAGTCTGAGCCATGTGCCACTCACCAGCGCAGCTCGTCGCTTGGCTTCCTGCACCCGGTTGCATGGAGCTACAAGTAGATGAAGTAGGTCGTACATCATAGCCTTGTGAAGTGATAGTTGTGGTACCAACACAAAAAAAATCAAAAAAACGCGCCAAGTTTCGCTTGTCGGAGGTAGTATGATTATGAAAACATGAGAGTTCATTCTTGTAGGCAGTATATTCTTTTACACGACCACGCTATAACCGATACGCACTGTACATGTACACACAAACATGCACATATCCACCCCCCCCCCCCCCCCCCACAACCAACACACACACACACACACACACATGTACTCGCATGCACACCGTGTACCATGTATATGCCCGTCACAAGAGAAGCACGCAAATCTGCGAAATGTACTGGAGATTTTCTCTTCTAGCAACGATAGCGGACAAGATCTGAATGAGACAGATCAAGACTAGTGCCAGATAACTGCCTAATCCACACAACCTGTGAAGCTATGAGAATAGACCACCAATGCACATGTGGTCTGCACAACACGAAGTACATCAGCATAGAACGCCTACGACAGTTGCCTATCCTTCCTGTATGCACACACACACACACACGCACTGACGCACGCACCCCCCCCCCCCCACACACACATACATACACCAGGAAATATATTTACATCACTATAGTATGTCCTACGCCAACCTCGTCTCGTCTCGTCTCTGTCAACCTCGTCTCGTCTCGTCTCTGTCAACCTCGTCTCCTCTCGTCTCTGTCAACCTCGTCTCGTCTCGTCTCTGTCAACCTCGTCTCGTCTCTGTCAACCTCGTCTCATCTCGTCTCTGTCAACCTCGTCTCGTCTCGTCTCTGTCAACCTCGTCTCGTCTCGTCTCTGTCAACCTCGTCTCGCCTATGTCCACCTCATCTCGCCATGCAGGTCAGCTACCTTTCTCTCTTTCTTTTTTTTGTATGCGTTCCTTCTTCGTCAAATATATTTTCGGTTTATTGTTTCGTGAATTTTTTTGTAGTGTGTGTGCGCGTGTGTTCATAAAACATTATCAAGTTAGGGGTCCGATCATGGTGAGCCACGCTCTAATTTTTGGATGTATAGCAAAAGTGTAACTAGGCTGTATTAGGCGTGCAAAATACTAGTAATTCACGTTCCTCGTCAAACTACAATACTTATTACACACTATAAGTAGTACAGGAACGTTGTAAATGAAGTGCATTTTTAGTACACACTTTTGTGAGATCCGTGCACGCGTGCAATATGTGTGTGTGTGTTTATTTTTTCTCCTTCAGTCATTTTTTAAAATCTTTTTCTCTCTTTTTTTCTCTCCGCGAGGATGAGGTTTTTTTTTCATGGAGGGGTGGTATGTTAGGTACGTCCGCCCGTGCTACGTCATTCTCACCTACGTCATTCTCACCTTTCGTTCCGTTGGCCTGGGTAGCTACTTGCGCACCCATGTTTGCCATAGCTACCCAGGCCCTATATATTGCGTCAACTCTCTTTAGATCTCTCTCTCTCAACTCTCTTCGGATCTCTCTCTCTTTCACAATGTAGTCGTTTAGTTCCTCTTTCTCTCCGTCTCTCCGTCTACGATAAATGTCTTCCCACTACTAGTACAGTTGTGGCAAGTGAAATCCGACACTTGCCATAGGGGACAGCGCCACAAATGGACACCAATGATGTAATGCACTGCACCTAATTTGTACTATAGAGCCGTATGCATCCCGAACAGATCGAAAGGTCACAGCGTAGATACACACAGTTCACAAATATGGTACACATAAGAAGTATTGGTATCCAATCCCCATCCATTTTTGCCAGCACCTTTTGAACCTTGACTGTGATGAGTACGAGTTTTGTCATCAGACAGATAAAGTTGTATGTAACACATGTACTGTACGTATTCAGGGCTGCAGGGGCTGCAGACTGCACGGTGCAGTCCCTTATGCCAAGTGTCGGATTTCACTTGCCACAACTGTACCTGTCCCCAGTTGTGCCTTTGTGTCTGGGATGGTGAGTCCTTGTGTGACTATCTGTTGCGGGAAGGTGAGATGGTCATCTATCAATAAACCAAGGTATTTGGCCTCTACAATTACTTATGTACGAAACAACAAGGACAATCAAGGCTTGTTTGCTGCTACTTCAAGTTTCATGCTCTCGCAATCATGTTTCCTGATGTTTTGTATTACGCTCTGCCTTCGCGGTGTTGAGCACTATCAGCACACTGGTACAGTCATGTGCATGACATCTTGTACACGTTATTTATTTTTATTTTTTTAGAATCGCGTAATCGAAATAGACAGCATAATCAAAATCGCTTCGTTGTAAAGCGGGATTCACAGAAGCTTTTTTTGCGATGCGATGGGCGATGAGACGAAGGCGTGCGATGCGAACTCGCGAAATACCTTTCACAGAGGAAGTCTGAGATGCGACGATACCTTGCTGATTTGGCGCAAAGTTCAATGCAGATGGCTACGTTCCATGGTATTCGCGCGGTTTGGTACAACTTGTACAAATTTACGGGCAACTCTTGAACCTTTGTACAACTTTGCTGTAGAAAACGTCAAAATCGTACACCAAATCGTTTGTCGCATCGCAAAAGTTGAGCCGAGTTCAACTTCTGCGATGGCCCAGTTGCGGCAATTGCGTGGGCTGCGAGATGACTGCGATTAGGGGATTTCCCGGTTTCGCGGCCGTCACATCGTGTGTCGCATCGCAAAAAATGCTTCTGTGAATCCCGCTTTATGATCAATTAGACGGATAACCGATATAATCGTTTCAGCCCTAATATATACATGTCCATACAAACATGCACATACAACCACTCCACCCCCAACACACACACACACACACACACACACACACACACACAAACACACACACATGTACACGCATACACACCGTGTACCATGTACTGTAAAACGGGTAACTATTGCGACGTAAAAATGTTTGCGAATTTTGCAAGAAGCCCCGAATCGCAAACTCTAAACAGTGCAAACTGCATGTAAAGTTCAGTGCAAGGACTGACTCGACTGTGTAGAACGACTGTAGAACAACTCGCAAACATTAAACAGCGCATGCCAGTCTCAATTTGTAAAACGCAAACATTTATTGTCGCAAACATTACCCGTTTTGCAGTATACGACCCTCACAAGAGAAGCACGCAAATCTGCGAAATGTACTGGAGGTGCACCCACAGATTTTCACTTATAGCAACGACAGCGGAGAAGATCTGAATGATACTGATCAAGACTAGAAATTCATAACTGCCGAATCAACACAACCTGTGAAGCCATGAGAATCGAACACCAATGCACACGTGGTCTACAAAACACGGAGTACATCAGCATAGAACGGCCAAGAGAGTTGACTACACTTGCTGTATGCACACACGCACGCACGAACCCACACACGCACCCCCCCCCCCCCCTCCTCTCCCCCCCCCAACACACGTAGAACAGGAAATATATTTACATCACTTCAGTATGTAGGGAGGGCCATTGCATGGACCCAAGAGTGAATGGTGTGCCATGGTCTGCTCTACTGGCCGATGGTGGAATCCGTGAGGTTAAGTTCAGTTGCTCCGGCCTGGCGCGAGTGACTAGATGCTACTTGTTGCGATCGAATATATTGCTCAAACCGTGTTCTGAAAAAAAATGCTCAAGGAGAATCAAGGATAGAGATTGCCCGACTTACATTGTTCTTTGCAGAGATCGTGCCGGGTTGGAGATCTAGTAGATACTTGACGAGTTCCAGATGTCCTGTATCGGCAGCGCGATGAACAGGAAGGTTACCGTACTGTGTACAGGTAACACACATGACCAGACATTCCTATGCGTTATCCATCGGTAAAGTACTTATAATTATTGGGTATAATGCACAATCCACTACGAAGTGAGGCAGTCTCACGCACAACATTGTGATAAGTCAATTGACAAACTGTTAACAATTTAAGCTGGAAACCCCAAATACTTGCTTCAGGGCTGGGTACGAGATTGGTTAGTTTGTATTATTTTTGAGCCAAAGTAATGTTGCAATGTTCCTCTTGTGGGTTGAGGGGCATATGATGGGCGCAAGTATACAATACTAAGAACTCTATTGAGTCATTTATGGACATCTCTGCACACACCAAACAAATTCCTTTTCACATGTGTTGAGTTGATGATGATTGAGACCAATGGTTATGTGAACCGGATGCATAATGGAGGTGCTTTTTGCAGCTATCACTGCCGGGCAGCAGAGTCACCATTATTCACAGGTACCTTTGCAGCAAATAATCGGTTTGGTAGCTGTTTCAGCCTGATGCTCCCCAGCAAATGACATATAGCTAGCACAGTGGTCCTCATTGGCAAGAAGAGTGCTGTAGGAGTAAGGCCCTTATCACACTGCGCTCAAAAGTCGCGTTTGCGTCTGCGTTTTCTTCGGTTTTTGACGGTCGCCTAGGAAATGCCATTACGTGACGTTATCGCAAGCCCAGACGCACAGCCGCAGACGCAGACGCACAGCCGCAGACGCAGACGCACAGCCGCAGACGCAGACGCAAACCTGGGGGGGGGGGGGAGGGGGGGGGTGGTCAAAACCGATTCCCGCAAACGCAGATCGGACTTTCTTTATCGCAGCACTTCCTGCATTGTTTTTGAGTGTTTTCCAGTGATTCTTAAGTGTGCTTTTCAAATCTTCATTTCCATGTAGTTGCTGAGGCCGGCGAGGGTACTTCTACTACATGTACTGATTAATAGATTTTGGATTCGCGAGGCATGGAGCTGATGCGAGCTCGTGGCTGTCTGGCTGAGGTTGTGCTGACTAGTTGACGGCGACTAGCCTAGCTGGACGATGTGCCTCCACAACGGAGCTGCCACCCCAACACAGGCAACCCAACGGCTGCAGTCTTCCCATCGACTCCCATTCCCCAGCACCACTGACAAAGGACATAGGAGCAGAAATAGAACACTTCTCGATCTCAGGAAAATAAATTCAACATCCACGGCCACCTTGAGGTCGATTTCCCACATTTTTGTATTTTCCCGAGCGCACAGATTTTGACGCAAACGCGCTGAAAATCACAAGTCTAGTATGATATCACGTCTTGCGTTTTCCAATCTCAAACGCAGACGCAAACGCGACTCAAACAAACGCAGTGTGATAACGGCCTAACCGACTACAGCAAGGAGAGTCAATGAAGAAGAAAAGATTGCTTAACTTACCTTGCCCTTCACAGAGAGCGTATCGGGTTGGAGTTCTAGTAAAAAAATGCTAAAGAAGAATCAAGGATAGAGATTGCTCAACTTACATTGTTCTTTGCAGAGATCATGTCGGGTTGGAGATTTAGTAGATACTTGACTACTTCCAGACGTCCATTCTCGGCAGCTCTATGAACAGGAAGGCTACCGTTCTGTGTACAGGTAACACACATGACCAGACATTCCTATACGTTATCCATCAGAAAAGTACTTTTATTGGATGTAATGCGCAATCTACTACGAAGTGAGGCAATCTCATGTACAACATTCAGGTAACACACCTGACGAGACATTCCTATGCGTTATCCATCAGAAAAGTATCTATAGTGGATAAAATGTGTTAGGTACTTCCTCCCGTACAACCTTTTCCAAGCTGGCCTGCATGCACCCCATACTATGTCGTATTCACCTTTTGTCACCTTTTGGTCCATTGGCCTGGGTAGCTACTTGCGCGCCCATATTTGCCAAAGCTACCCAGTCTACCTCTCCACACTGCACTCTTGGCCCACAGTCACAACACCACTCCATAGCGAGGATGTTCGTTCTTGGGTAGATGTTCCATATCCTCCAGACAGCTGTTTCGTTCAGTAAGAGTTCCCCAGCAGAGGTAGATAACGAAGAGCGCAGTGTGGAGAGGTGGACAGTTAAGATTATTTTCAAATGGCCGAGTTTGTCGCTACTTCTGAGTAAAACAGTACACCGATAAGTCAATTGACAAACTGTTTTGTCAGGTTAAGGTGGAAAACCCCAATTCATGAGCCAGGGACTACAGAAACCACCCTATGGCACTTTTGGCGGAAAATGTTTTCTCTCAAAATGTTGGTATGGTATGGTAAAAAAATTTCAAGTTGATCTGCGATGGCAAAATGTGCATAACCACCTATTTAATAGTGGCATGTCAATTGAGCGATATAGAGCAAATTTGTGTACACGGCGAGTGTGAAATGGCAGTTCAAGTTGCTGGGCAAAATCAAATGTATAGTGAACTTTGCCCTCAGCTTCATCCAGTGACGCCTTCGCGCCGTCCACTATATCTCGGTAGTACTGCCGCTCCTCTTGTGCAAGTGATATGTGCAATTTCAGGGCCTGGACACTACAGTCTACATTCCGTGTCTTCCTTTGTACGGGCGACACGAATTTTGTCCCCCAGCTTGTCACACAGTGCGCATACGTCTGTCCTTGGCTTCATCACTTTGATGTGGTGCGGCCAACATCAAGTATCCCTTTCCCATATCTCTGAAGGAAATGTTGCCATGTATGACCAGACCAATTGGCAATAATAATATTGTGTTCTCAACTTCTCATGCTCTACAATTACGTTCATTATACTTCGAAGTATGTTGTGCTGCGTTCTCTAAAAAAAATTCTAAAGGTGTTTTACACAGAGATATACTTGGGAGTCTTGTCCCGTAGAACATTTACTCTGTCTGGATAAGCGCTGCAAGCCGCATGAAGAACTGGAAGATTATGACCCCCACCCCAGGAACTCGTATAAGGTGAGGCAAAGTTAACTTGATGGAGTTTGTCCATAACTTGTTTGTGTACGCTTTCCTGTGGCTCTTCTGTAGATCCGTAAATCCTGTGAAGTTTCGGCCATTGCTTGCTACCACTGTGGGTGGCTAAAACAGAGTTGATCTGGTGTAAGCCTCAAGACCACCATTCATTACAAAGGAGTTAAAAAAAATCAAACACACAAACGCACACACACATGCACAAAAAACACACACACTTACATACATACTACTACTACTACTACTACTACTACTACTACTACTACTATGTACAGCTACCCTACCGGGCCACGCCGCTCCCAGAAGCGGGAGACAACGACAAGAAGAGAGAAGAGAAGAGAGAGAAATACATACACACACACACACACATATAATACACACACACAAATACACATACATACACACACACATACACACACACACACACACACACACACACACACACACACACAAACACACATACACCAGGAAATATATTTACATCACTTTAGTATGTAGGGAGCCTGCAAGCAAAACGAACTTATGATCAAACAAAGCAAGTATTTACTGAGGCGTCTATGAACCTCCGTGAATGGGCTTCGAACAATTCCGACTTCCTCTCTCACATTCCAGAAGTTGACAAAGTTTCTGAAACGGTCATGACAGTACTTGGTATGCAGTGGTGTACACCCACGGATCAGATTTCGCTGGCCGGTCATGACATTGAGCACGTGATCGTTCGGACCAAACGCCAAATGTTGCAGGTCGTCTCAAAGTTCTTTGACCCAATGGGCCTCCTATCTCCAATACTGCTGCAACCGAAAATCCTGATTCAAAACCTGTGGAAATTGAAATGCAACTGGGACGACATCCTCCCAACAGAAATTCTAAATAAATGGAAAGAAGTCACAGGTGATCTAAAGCAGATCCACGAAATTCAAATTCCGAGACGGATGATAGTCGCACACCCAGGGGCAGTCAAATACACACTTCACTGTTTTTGTGATGCCTCTCACACAGCATATGCAGCGTGTGTGTACCTTGCGGTTGTCGACGAGCAGTCAGGTTGTGACTCTTGTCATCTTGTGTTCGGTAAAACCCGCCTAGACCCCATCAAGGAATTAACAATACCGAGACTAGAATTAATGGCGGCCTCGATCGGTATTCGGTCGTTACGATTTGTACTCTCACAATTGAATTTCTCGGAACAACCCAGACTGATGCTGTGGTCTGATTCGCAATGTGTGTTACATTGGATCAAGAAACCTCAAAAACACGGTACATTTGTGGACCGGCGCTTAAATGAAATCCGGTCTCTGTCGTTGGTTGAGTACCGGTATGTAGACGCAGCTGAAAACCCCGCAGACACTCCTTCTCGCGGGGCCACGGTGAACACGCGGAAAAATAACAAGACCTGGTGGCACGGGCCCAGATGGTTGGAACAATGAGAAAGGTTGGCCATCGGTGTTGGTGATTCCAGCTAACGCCGTGGAGGTGGAGAAGTCTGCCAACACCTTACTGGCGGCGGCGGAGGGTCCTATGGAGTACCCAATGATAATGAATTAGGAACGGTATTCGTCTTGGGGAAAACTGATACGTGTCTCAGCATATGTTTTGAGAGCCATCGAATGTACGCGTGGTAATAAATGTAATGGGTTTCTTACATCACAAGAGCTCAAGAATGCGACAATGGTTTGGCTACGACATTTGCAACGTACGGAATTTCCAGACACGCTCAAGTTAATTCAGAAAGGAAAACGAAATGATCTAGCCAACAAACTCGGCCTGTTTCTAGATGAAAACGAAATAATGCGGTGCAAAGGACGGTTGGAAAAAGCAAACATACCGCTACGGTCTAAGTTCCCAGTCCTAATACCTAAACACGGAGTAATCGCAACTTTGCTAATTGAAGAATGTCACAAACGGCTAATGCATGGCGGTGCGAGTCATACACTGATGGAACTGAATATTAATAATAATGGAAAAACCAATGAAAAATACGAAGACGTCAACGAAACGAAGACGATCGTGATGACACTGTGCGGTGCTTTCCCCTGACAATAACGTTGAAAGGCAAAACACTGAACAGAGTCCAGAGCCAGCGACACCTGGGTATCATCGTTCAGGCCGACCTGAAGTGGAATGCCCACATCCAGCACATCGAGAGCAAAGTTGCGCGCACTCTCCACCTCTTGAGATGGATTCGTGGACGTCTTTCACCCACCGCCCTGTCAGCATTGTACACCACGTATATACTCCCCGTTATCGAATATGGTTCTCTGGCTATGTCAGCTATGAATGTTCAGCAACAAGATGCCATCGAACGTCTCCAACGGCGGTCAGCAAAACTCTGCCTCCGACTCCCCCTCTTCAGTCCTTGCCACCACAGTTCGTTACTCCACCACGTCACTTGGCCTACCCTCTCATCCCGCAGGAAGCTCAAGCAGCTACTCTTTGCACACACCATCGCTGTCAAACGATCCCCGCCACACATCCAGCTTGCGACCTCAGGCTACATCACCGAGCCACCAAGCCGAGAATTGAGGCGTCATCGAGTCTTTGCCCTCCCCACCACCCACTCCACCCGCCTTCAACGTTCACCCTTGTACTCAGCATGCACTCAGTACAACCACCTGCCACCACACTGTTACTCCCTCCGAGAAATAAATGCATTCAAAAGAGAAGTTACCCCGATCATAGTATCATCAATTTGCACATGCTCCAACCCCCGCTGCAGCCCACCCTAGGTATAGTATTTTAATCAAGGTATATCGCCTACCTGCCTTCGCAATGGATATACTTCCCTCCTCGTCTTTACTTAAATGAAGCACCCAAACCACGGCTGCCACTAGCCACTGTTTCTCCCGGTTTATTGCACCCATTCTGATTGATAACACATAGTACTGTATCTCTCTTATTGGCTACGGTCACCGTGAGAATAAAGATAATAATAATAATAATAACCTTTGCAGTGGAAATAAATAAATGAATACGAAGGATACATAGACAAGTCCGTGTGACTTCATCAACGTTTGCACGCATAATTTCGAGAGAGAGAGAGAGAGAGAGAGAGAGAGAGAGAGAGAGAGAGAGAGAGAGAGAGAGAGAGAAAGAGAGACACCAACGCTTACTAGACTGCAATAAAAGGAAGGTAGCATCAAGTGGTCATCACCGAAAGACCGTGAACTACTGAAGAAACAAAGAATTCAAGCTTCAATTGGCAAACCTGTCGTAGCATTTGGGCACATTCTGTACTACTTTGTAGTAGATTTGGTACTCGAACTGTATGCGCAACGGATCGGGTGCTGGCTCACCGCTGATGTCTTGCGATGTCTTGTGGCGCCGATTTTGCTTATGTGAACCAACCCTAACACACATGACGAGACATTCCTATGCGTTATCCATCAGAAAGGTATGTATATTGGATATAAATGTGTTAGGTACCTCCTCCCCTGCAACCTTTTCCAAGCTGGCCTGCATGCACCCGAACTCCGTTATGCTCACCTTTTGTTCCGTTGGCCTGGGTAGCTACTTGCGCGCCCATATTTGCCATAGCTACCCAGGCCCTTCATCTTCGCGTTCACACTTGATCTTTAGCTCTTGTCTCTCTCTGCCGGCTATCTCAGTCGGTAGAGCATGAGGTCCCATGCACCGTTGTCCCC